AAGACAGAAATATGCAGTATTTAGGATCAGCTATGTACTGCTTGAAGGAGAATCAGCTTTGTACCTAATGCTGAGTAGAAGAATTATGTTTTCCCTGGTGTAAACACACACAGACACACCCCACTATACACAGATGGACGTACTGTGGAGCAGCATGTAGTTAAGGCCTCTACTTTAATTAGCCCTTCCCCAGCACACATTAGCCCTCGGTCCCTACAGGCCGCTCAGCAGGGAGCGTAAGAGAGAGGGAAAAGGCTGCAGCGGAGAGGGAACTGCATGGGAGGGAATTTTGTCAACACAGGAGGGAAAAAAGCAGTGGATGATTCCGGCAAACAAATAGAGGAAAAAAGATTTCAGCAGGTGCTGAGACATATGGATGTAAATCTGACATTTAACACAAAATAAATAAAATAAAAGACCAGATGCAGCATCTTGGTTGAACATGTAAACTCAAAAGTAACAGCAGTTGAATCAGACTTTCTCACCATCACATTGTCATTCATGTCCCTCATGTGATAGATGTCCATGGAGACCTCGGCAGCGCTGCAGTGGCTCCCTGGGGTGCTGGTAGAAGGCACTGGCCTCTCACCTGACTGGCTGCCTGGCGGGAGTTCGAAGTAGGTACTGTCTGGTTCGCTGTGTATGTGGTCAAAGAGGAATTAATTATTCAAAATGAACACTTCATTAGAGATTGTCTGTAAAACATGGAGTTTAGGATTTAAAACAGAATATACATTTTAAAGGTTGTTCCAACTATATGTAATGTTAGCAAGGACAAATGTAATGTGATAAGGTTGTAACAACTTTGGGATAAAGGGACAAAAAGGCTTCAATTTGTAAACTGATTTGATGGCTTTTATTTTACAAACACACTGAAAATAGTTAAGTTTTTAAAGTTAAGTGGACATTTATCACTGCCATTATGGAACTATGTTAACCTTATATGGGGTTATTTTGGAACTGAGATGTGTATATCAGGTAATTTTAAATTGTTTTAAAACTATTCCATCAAAATGTTTTTTCTTAGCAAACTCTTTAAATATTTGGTAAGTATGTTTTTGATCAGTTTACTGGACTATTTTTTTATACAGTACGTATGGCTACAGTAGATCTTTTGTTATTCAGCTCTCTTCCGGTCAAATGTTTATTTTGATAAAATGCATCTTTCTTTATAGTTGCTTTATTTTTGGAAATATTTTCATTTAATACAAGCTTTTTTGAATTTCTTTTAAACAATGTTTGCCTTTATCTGTTCAAAATGAAATGTATAATATTATGACCCATTGAAACACTCTCTCTGACATCTGGTGTAGATGCAGGTGATGCAGTGGTGTGTGATTATCACTATGATATGCTCCAAGGCTGTTCTGGTTATGACGCACTGATAAATGTTTCGTACATTTGGTATTACATCCAGGGCTTTATTGACAAACATGTATGTCTGTTATATAGAAGAGAAACTGTCATCAGAAAATGTTGACACTTACAGGGAGCTCCACAGATGCTCAAAGGTGCCTCCTTCTTCTGTAACTGACGGCTGAGACATCTTAGAGGACGGGTAGTCTGGTGAGGGATAGATGACTCTGTGGACGGTCAACACACATTTAAGTAAATAACGGAGTTTGAAAGACAACAAATGTTCCGTATGATTTTTTGTTGTGTCCTGATGATTTTTGGTCAGTTTGTGTCTAATCTTTTTTTTAAGAAGGTGCTGATTTAATAGCCAAGAGGAAACAAGTACATGTGTAGTACTTTTTTTTTCTATTATAGCCAAACCAAAACATTAGATAGATGGATGTGTAAGTGGATGTATGTAAAGATGGATGGATGGCTAGGCGGATGGATGAAGCTACAACAAATGTTTGTTTAAACATATACAAATAAATTCCATTCTTCTTTTACTCTAAAAATGGGAAAACGGGATTCACACACACCCCCCCCCTTCCCCCCCCCCCACACACACACATATCAAGGTGTGATCACACCACTGTAGTCACAGTGAGGTGGCACCAGTGTCTGGGGCCTGGGCGTGTTCAGACCTGCCTGGCTCATCACCATCTCACTCTGAGGGAAAGTTTCTTTCCTTCCCTCATCAAAGTCTGAACATCACCTCCTCCGCCTCTTTATTTCCAAAGATATAACCTTCACGTCATTCCCCTGATGTGAGTGTGTGTTTGATGTAATTTTTTTTACATTGTCTCATCACAGATATTTTTGCTGACATTTCTAGCACACTTTCTCATTCAATTCTGGCTAAGCTTATGCTATTTTATAATTTTTTTACATATTTTTCTAACCCTTTGCTGTATTTTTGCTGTGTTTCAGCAGATTTTAGCTTTTCCTGGGCATAGTTTATTTTGTGAGCCATCACCTAATCAAAGGTGTGTAGGAAACACAAGTCTTATTAAAATTAGTTGTGTCCAAAACCCATTTTACTTTTGACAAAAGAAAATTGTTGGTTTTATTTTGGGTATCACAGAACAAACCTGTGTTCTTTTCAAATATCGGATCTTAGCTATTTATATTTATAATATTTCATATTTCCATTTAGTCTCTGCTAATGCTTAACATGAAAACCACATACACACCTCCTGTATATACAGTACACACTACAACAGTACATTTCTTTATGATTACTACCTCTGATACTACCTGATAGTACTCGATCCAAACAGTGACAGGTAATACACCATGAATCACCATAGGTTTTAAATGAACCTACAGTGTTTACAGTGTCTAAATTGTTACCTTATCTCAACACTGACTGACAAGAGTATTTCCTCACTTCTACTCAATCAGAGATATAATCCCTTTAGGTAAACATTTGAAGGTCAAGTTTTTCTCAGTAACAAACACCTTTGACATCTAGGTCATCATTGACTTAAACTGCTGCTCATGATAATTTCCTGGAAATATATTTAACTTGTTACAGTGAAAAGAGTACTGCCTTTGCAATTGAGTAGTGTGGACAGATAATTGTGAGTTTCTGGTATTATGTAATATTTTGTAATTTATTACATTTTTTTAATTTATTACATATTTAATTTATTTAACTGGACTGTGTAATGGAAAATAGAAAAACAGCAGTTCACATTTCTATCTCTGTGTTGGTATTCTTTCAACTATTCATTATAAAGAATGTTGTTTAATTAATGCAATCGCGTAAATATATTGCACAATTTTGCAATGCGGAAGCTAGCGCGAACCCTATGTGAGTCCAAATTCCTTCTCTGAAGAGTGACTAGAATACGGCAACTGATGTATTAAAGTTGGTCTTTCTGATTTTCCCGCTGTTCGCACATCAGCTACCGCCACAGAAATCAGCTCGGTCTCTAACATGTTCCCTGCGACCTAAACTGATCCCAGAGCAGTCCACGAGCGCCTGATAACAGGGTATCTGACAGTTGGGGACAGCAACAGTTGTTTATTGACATTTCACAAACAAAGCTGAACAAAACCTTTTTTAGATAGATAAATAGATAGATAGATAGACAAACAGAACCGTTTATTTCTATTTGACTTATGTCCTATGTTCTTCTCATCTGCATTTATTTGTCCCCATTCCACGGTTACGGCACCCATGACAACACACACATACGCGCACACACGCACACACAGACACCTTCCCAGGAGCCATTTTATGAAAGAGAATTTTTATTCCCAAATGACTGTAAATTAATTTAAAAAAATGTTTTAAATTTGATCCGCACCAGCCCCCCGTTACATTATTCATATGATGATTAAAAGGACAAGAGTCTTTCGTTATCGGTTGTGTCGTCATCGTCGCTCGTCAAAGACTTGACATTTGTCGAATTCAAATATTTGTGTAAACTAAAATAAAATACAAAAATGAAACCGATGGATTTCTGAAACAGTATTGAGCATGTGCTTTGATGTTGATATTAAATCTAGTGCTAGTCTACAGTTTTACTATATTTCTAAAGACTAAAATCAAATTAAATAATTGAAAATAAAATAATTCACAAACGAATGCGATTACAATGAAAACGTATACGTTTAAAGAGGTGATAAAAGGCCGAAACACAGATTCAAATTAAAATGTATTTAATTAAAAACAAATAGCCAAAAATCAAAAGACGCGGAATATGTTAAAGTAAAATGTATTTTTAAAAATAGATATTTACATACATTTTTTAGTTAAAAATACTAGGTTTTGACTAACATTTTTAACGATTTAAAAACATATGCCAAAACAAGGCCTAGTGAAGAAGGAACGAAATAAACAGACAAATGCCAGTATGTATAATCACTATAATGATTTATGCAAAATAAAAATAAATAAACGTACCTGAAGACGTTTATTAATCCGATCCAAGGTCACGAGAACTGTGTTGCGTTGCAGAGCACCTGCCTGTTTATAATGGCGCATGCCATGAGAGTGACCCTCCATAAAAGATAAATCAACAACAAAAAATTATCGACTGACTTCAAGTGTGGTATCAGCGGTCGAATGTGATCGACCGTTCAAAGAAGAAAAAACAAACTCGAAAAGGGCTCTTCAGGGAAGTTGTGAGCCCTGCTCAGTGAGACTGAGGAGGAGGTGAAGGAGGTTTCCTTGCGCTGGAAGGCGCAGGGAGGTGCTGTACAGCGCGGTTTGGGCGCACACGAGCGGGAAAGCTTTTACAGACCAGCAGGCAGATTCTAGCGATGGGTAAAAGTCATCAATCTGTCATCAGACGGGTTTATGAGAATAAAGCAGAACCCGGAGTCTATCTTTTGATAGCTGTAAAATTTAAAATCGAATAAAACAAGAACAAATGGCTTTGATAACAGCTCTGAATTTTCTATAAAAATTAGCCTTTATGAAATAGGTTTATTTATTTATTCATTTGTTTTCCATGTTCATATAGCCTATCATATCCAAAGTTCGGTCCGTGGGCCATTTGAGGTCCACAGACAGGTTTAATGTGGTTTTGGATGTTTTTTGTTTTTCTTCACAAAGCTCTGGGGTAAGTGCTATTAACCAGTTGACTACCATCAAACATGTTGCCACACTTTTCAAAAATTAAAGAAAAAAATGAAAAGACTACTCAATACAACATCCATCCATTTTCATCCGCTTGTCTGTTACCGGGTCACAGGGGCAGCAGTCTCCATGACCGCCCCCCAAATCACACTGCACCGTACCAACCCCCCTGAACCTTCCTGCATGTGGTGAGTCCACTGGAAGGTACTGAAGGTACCAAACGCCCTAACCGGGATTCAAACTTGCCCAGGAGGTGAACCCTGGGGTTCCACACCAATGACAGAGATGTCTGTGTCATTGGTGTGGAACCCCAGAGGTGCCTCTGGGCCAAAGCACGTCATTGAATTGAACACAACTTTCAACTAATGGACTAAGATATGTTTAATGTGTTTATAACACCACCCACGAGGCAGGAAGATAGGCTGCATGCGCTACACTACAGTATAGCAAAAATAATACGCAGAATACTGCAGATCATGTGTTTACCAAAACTTCAACGCGCACAAAAACAAATCCTACCCTTTCATAAAAAAGAATTACAACCCAGGTGCGATTGTAACTTTACGTATTTGTCGTTCATTTGGGTATTTACTACAAAAAATAGCGCAGAGAACACAATTACAAATAAAACTGCATTTCCCAAAAGTCTTAGTGCTGGAGCTAGATTCTGATTGGACAGTGCTGCTCTGTCGCAGTAGGGTCTAACAAACAAACTAGCAACAGGCGGTTTTCAGAAAGTAACCTATCACACCCACAAAGCCATGTAGGCAATGAACACATTCATAGTACTTCTTGGAGTTTTGTTTCTGTCTACGTTTTGATTCAGTTAATTTAAAGTGAAGTGAAAGGTGAGTGGACGCTGGCGACTTAGCTGCTACGATGCTAATGACGTACATAACAAAGTGTAGCGTTGCTTTGTCTAGTAACCATTAACAACATTCATTATAGCTAGCACAAGAGAGGCTAGCTTTCCGCCTTAGAAGTTCTAGCAAACATAAATGACACTAAAGTCGCAGTTACGCTTTGCTCGCAAGTTGCAGTTTTAAAGAAATTAACCAAACAACTTCGTTCATACAAGAGGCCAAAGCCTGTCGTCTGTTTTCGCATTAATCCAGTAACTCTGGTAGCATTAGACAGAAACAATCTATGGATTTACACAGTAGGAGTAGCATTTGCTAACTAGACAAATGTCGCCATCGCGTGTTTACATTCGGATACTCCACCAATTGTGATATGCATACTGTATACTACTATGTAGGTGAAAAAAACTATTTACAATGATATTGATAATTTGACGAAACTCAATAAACGTTTCTTCCTGAGCAGGAACATTTGCGATTAGGAGATGAACTTCTCTGAGGTCTTCAAGCAGTCCAACCAGCTTTGTAAAGTTTCCCCAGATGGCAAATACTTGGTGAGGGGCTGTGTTTTATATATTATAATAATATTATAATAGATCCAAGATCATGTTTTAGCTCACAAGCTTTTTGTGTTACAATCTTTAGGCTACGTGTGTGCAGTACAGGTTGGTGGTGAGAGAAGTAAGCACCCTACAGATCCTGCAGCTCTACACATGTTTGGACCAGGTTTCACACATGGAATGGTCCTCAGACGCTCTCTTTATCCTCTGTGCCATGTACAAGAGGGGACTGGTACAGGTAAGTTATGACTCAGTTAGCACCCAACATTCCACTCTCCATTGTAGTTAACTTTTCTGATAAATCAAATAATGAATTTATTTAAAATCAAAGATATTTCAGTGATGATTGTGTACTCTTTAAGCTTAATGTAATTGCTAAGCTAATTATTTGACTCTTATAAAGTAAAAATGACAGTGGCAGTTGTTGCTGTGTGTATAACGCTGCAACCACGATAATTTCAGAATCTAGATTTGACTAGCTCAATCTAAATATTAACAGTGTAACTTGGTCTGCTATGTAAAAGTTATCAAATTACCAATACTCTAGTTTGAAGTCTGATAACAAAGCATTTACAAACACAAGTTGTTTTGCATTGATGAGGATTTACTTGAATGTGCTAAATATAGATGTACCTTATTTTAGCTATATTTCTATGAATGGCATTTTATCTGTATTCAAAATTAGTTTAAAAGATAAATCGATAGATACAACATTATGTGAGCATGCTTAGCACCCTAATAGCAGAACACTTGAAATTTTAATGAAATTATTCCACAAGCAGTGCATATAAAATCTGTTGAAATTGTTTTTTTTATTATATACCTATATAATAAGTAAAACAATTAAAGGTTAATTGTTAAAGCCTGTTGAACTATGCTTTATTTATATTTTTTGGTTTTCACAGAATGAGGACTAAAAAAAAATTACCAGAATCTTATTCACTATTATTTTAAGTAATATAACCTGTCATTCACGACTACAGGTAAATCATTTGTGCATTATGTGATTACATTATTATTATTATTATTATTACATGTCATGTGATCAGCAAAGTTTAAATGGCTTATTACTAAAATTGTATTTTTATAAATATGTATAATTCAGGAAACAATGATTTTTATGCATTTGATATATGAATATAAAGGTGTGTTACTGGATGAAACTTATATCTTTTTTAATCTTATCTACACCAGGCCTCCATCATAGTGTCACATATTTCTCAGTCTAACGTTTCCTGATATAAGTTTTTACAAAAGCGTTTATCACTTTTTAAATATTGTCATTTCAAATAATATTATCTATAGCAGAGTAGCCTACCTTTGAAGAGGGATCCATCTCCAGTCTTTCATGGTCTCTGATGGTCAAGTGTTTCTCAGTGATGGAAATCAATCTTACAGATGTAAAAGACGTGTGTGGCGGATGTGGTCAGTGTTTTCTTCTTGTTGTCCTTCTGGCACTATTCTCTGCCTTTGTCTATAGGTGTGGTCTCTGGAGCAGCCAGACTGGCACTGTAAGATTGATGAGGGTTCAATAGGACTTGTCTCCTCACGCTGGAGTCCAGACGGACGTCACATTCTCAACACCACTGAGTTCCATGTAAGTGTGAAGTTGCAGTGTGCATGTGTGCACGCAATCAGGCTGACAGAAGTGTGTTTATGCATATGCTTGTCTGGTTTCAACTGTTGCTGTCCCACAAGTACAGGGGGGCCTGAAAATAGCCAGACACCAGAGCCTTTCTTGACTGCCTCTGCACCTCACACCTGCTGCATGTATTCAGGCTGATTTCATAGCTCTCCTCCTGTTAGCGTCCTGTCATACATAGGTCTCAAATACCTCACAACATGGGAGCAATGTTTGTGGCCTGCTGATGTTTGCCTGATATTTTCTTGGACAGTTTGTCCTTTTAATGATGTTCCACAACTATCTGTTCAAGTTGAAACATTTATTTTTAAAACCCAATTGTACTTGGTTGAAGTCTTACAGTAGCTGCTTGATATGATAGATAGATAAAAACAAGATGTCAATATCAAGTTCATGAAATGGTTTTGAGTTACATGCAGTTTGAACATTCAATCAGTATATGTAAAAGTCACCCATTTTAAAAAATGTTTTACTTTAAAAACAAATTATTTTAAATGAGGTATTTTTGAAATAACGTTACTACTTCCCATATAGTAGCTGTTTAATATTTTGCTATTTTACGGTTAAGAAATTTTGATCGTCAGATCATCAGAATATTAATACACATTGAGCAATGAACAATATTTTTTTTCAATTTAATTGTATTTATTATCTCCTCATAATTACTAATTTTGTCAGTTACACTAAATAATCTTGAAAGACTAGTAAATACAGAAATACAGTAGCTGCCTTCGAGCCACACAGAATCTGACTGTGTATGTAACGTTAAACTTGACTCCAGGAATCATTTGACTGGTGTTGCGACCCAACATACAAGTGTGTCTGATCTAGAGAGGGTAGCACGGAGTGTAAGTGTCTGCGGCATGTGTTCTTTGTGTCTGTTTGTGTCTACCGATGGGGAAAAAATGAAAAGGAAAGGTGTTGAAAAGAATTAATACTCCTCCTTCTCAAGTAGGTATGGCATCTGTGTGGGATAGAAAATGAGATATGGGGTCGGGCACAATGCTTCATTGCTGTAATGCCTGACATTTGGAGTTTTGAGAATGAAATGTGTCCAAACACAGTTTGATAATATTTGCTCAAAAATGTATAATATAAAAATGTATATATAAAAATATATATACAATAAAATATATAATATATATATATATATATATTTAGTGTACGAAAGCAATGAAGTTTTTGTTTACAGTGGATTTTTTATCTGGTAAACACAACCTCTATATATTATTAATATATATATATTTTTAGCTGAAAGACACCACTTTTTTAATTTCAATAATTTGGCAACTGAGGACATTTATTTTGTGAAATCTAGCAAGTGGATTTTTTGCTGCTTCTTGCTAAGACTTGAGCTACTTGAATGCCTGTGGTCTTTTTTCCATTAACGCCAGAAATTTCAATAAGAGATGAATGTAGATTGCATGTAAATCATTATTGCATTATCTTTGTTAGGCAGAATATCTAAATGATCTTGAAGTAAGTGGCAGCACATGGCTGTAGAAACTGAAAAAGAGAGCAGTTGAATAAGATCTTTGAGTGTTTTTTCTTACTATAGCAGTGCTGTGTTTAACTAAACGAGCCCTGGTTTCACACTTACTTTAATAGGAAAATTAAAATTTAAAATATCATAGTACCTAGCCGCCGAAAAGGTTGGGAAATACTGCTGTATAAAATGTTTGACAGTGAAAGAAAAGGGAACAACTATTCCTAGCAGTGGTGTGTAAGGTTTTTTAAAACACAGGGTACTGTATATCACAGCATCTTTTCATTTGATTTACTTATTGCCCTTTCAACCTGTCTGCACATGAACAGGTTGTAACAGTGCTGCTGCTTCCTAATATTAAGCATCCTAATACAGCAGAAGAACTAACTCATCAGGGGGTTACCACATTGCTCAGGAATTTAATGAACTTACCTTCACCCCGACCTAAAATTTCATTAAGACTATGCCAGACAGTGTTCATGCCAGGCTTGAATTTCAACCTCACTCATAAACAGTCTGCTATATTAACTTGTTTTAGGACAGCTGCCTATGGTTTGGATCCTGCCACTGTGTGTGTATGTGTGTGTGTATGCATCAGTAAAACTGCTGAACTGGCTATCCTTCTCTTACTGTTAAGTTTGTTTATGTTGCATCTTACACATAACATCTCCAGGTTTTGGGAGAGATAATCGTTTATTTATTGGCCTCGTAAAAAAGTAGTAGAATGACCAGATCCCAGGTTTGTGGTGTTAAGGGCTTTGCAGACAACATTAGACTTATGACAGGCGGTTTGAATTGCACATGGATCATTCCTGAAAGGCTCCAAGAAAAAACAATTCTGTTTTTGTAGGGGGATTCTAAAAAACTGATGTTTCACAATAAACTATGGCGCCATGCAAACTATTTAATAGAAAGTCACACTGCTGAAACCCAGCCTTTCTATTGTGAGTTGTCGCCTGTTCAAATTCCAGTCAGTTATGTTAGGACCTCACGAAATGTCTCTTGCACATCCATGTTAATCTGCCTTTACCAGCTGAAGGCTGATAAACTGGGGGTGGAAAAACTCAGACCAAGGACATCACCAGGCCTGACCTCCATAATGGTTTTTAAATCATTGTGATTGGTTTAGCCTTTTTAGGATCAGTTTAGCAACAGCATGTTTTGGCCAGCGCTGTTGGAGCCTTGCTAGCATGTAGCATCCCTGACAACCACACATGTGGACTAAATGCAAAGGTAGGCAGCAGCTGCTTGTCTTAATGGGACAATAGGTTGCCCATACCTTGATGTGGCTATGAGAAGCTTTAATTTCTCCATAGAATCATGTGGCTGTAACCAGAGAGATATAGCTGGCTGTGCGAAATGCCTGCAGTTAAATCCTCTGCTGACAGACCAGACTCAGATTTTTATTTCAGAATGCATTCGGTAACATCTGTATGCATCATCAAATAGTGTCTTGTCTTAGATTGACTTGTAAAAAATTGTTTGTATTTTTCTGGACTCAATAAGAATACAACTAATGGGTTCCTCATGTTCCTGTAAAACTCTGATCTCTTATCACATAAAGTAAAAGGAACATAGTCATAAAACAGATCACAACAGCGTAACCTCTGTTTGTTTAACATCCTTAAAACCTCTCCATTGGTAAAGACCTCTGACACCCTCTGATTATGAATCATTTTGTGCTTATGTCTGCATTGATGGGAAATCCCAGATAAACAAGAGAAACTGCAGCTGTTGCAGTCGAATGTCAACCTTTCACGCCATCCTCGTGTTCTTATCCCTCATCCACAAGTTGCTGCTCACCTTTTGGTGAGGATACTTCATCCAAAGTGTAGCTTTACTGATCAAGGATCCTATTGCATACCACCACCCCACATGGAAAAGCATTTCCTGCCTCTTTTCCTCATGCTATCCCTTCTTCCACTCAGTTTAGGTTACACTGGCTTTCAGGGTCTTGATCTCCATGCACTCCTGTGAGGTGGTTTCAAGGCATCTGAGAAGTGTCGTGTGTTTATGTCTGATATGTGTTGCCATGGCACCACGTCTGAGGGGATGTCCATGAAGCATGCACTGATTTGTGTTGGCTATGCTTACACAGCTGGATATCTTGACCAAACTGTTGGGTTGACACTTCAGCTCAGGCTCGGTGTCAGACTTGGCCCAGTTCAAATGTCTGTCTGGACTCTGTGATGAAAGCTCTGTCACTTCAATAGGTTTAAGCCTGCATGTTCTCAAAGGCAAAATATCAAGTCTAAAAGGGTGCGGTCAAAAAAGCAGACATTGAATAGTTGTAATCAAAATCAAATTTAAAATATGGAACAGGAACAGCCCTGAAAATTGCAAAAAAGAAAGAAAGAAGCTTTATTAATCCCTTGGAAGTTCCCTTTGGGAAAATTAAGATATAGGAAGAATATTATGTACTTTATTTTAAAATTAGTTAATGGGTAAAAGCCAATGTTTTAAACTCTTGCTCATAAATAAATAAATAAATACAATCAACAATAAGCTTTTTGTGTACTCTTATTTAAATTGATTTGTCTTTAAGACCTTTAAAACTTAAGTCTTTTTATTTTTCTATTTGGCCTTCATCAACAAACTAATTTCTGTGCTACAATCCAGTTAAATGTAAAACATGTCGTTGATGGTTCTAAGTGGAGTGTCCTTGTTTGCCTTTTCATTTACCACTATTAAATATAAGGTCTAATCTCTTTTGATCCCCCTTATTAACTGCCAACATGCCTACTTATTTCCTCACAATGTGCTCTGAGAGTCACCACTTCACTGGGGGATGTGGTATACTGATGATGATCCGTGTTGTTGTAACATGACTCTCACAAGGATTCATCATGGTCCTTTATAAAGACAGAAGTCACTGTCGATAAACCTGTAAGGTCACGATGGATGTTAGCATGGACCATAGCATGGAATCCTGACCTACTCATCTGGTAGACAATTTTCTGGACACAGACCACCTGGTCACCTTACAAAAGCCTGTTTGTAATAACAGACTACTCTTAGTTATTATTATTATTATTATTATTATTGATGAATGAATTCAACCATTAACTGCTCAGAACCTTTTAGAAAATTGTTTCCGTAATTCCCCTGATTTAACTTTTTTAGAAAATAAATTCAAAATGTTTGGATTGGCATTATTGGATGTTTGAAACCCAATTGTTTAATGTTAACACTATTTCTCCTTTGTGTTTCCTTTTTATACTTGTCACATGAAGACACTTCACAGTCGCTCACATAATTTTTCTCTGATGTCTTGACAGCTGAGAATCACTGTCTGGTCCCTGTGCACCAAAGCTGTGTCTTTCATCAAATATCCAAAGGCATGCCAGAAAGGTAAGTTTTTTTTTGTTGTTGTTGTTTTACTGTTGTTCTCCAATGGCTTCTTAGTAAATTTGTATGAGCAGGAGTAGCTGAGGACAGGTCTGCTGGTATGAGCGCCTCAGCATGCCCCCATGAATCCCCTACCATTCTTTATTTCATGGCCTGACCCTGGGTATATGGCCAAACTGTGGTCTCTGCTGACAGCTGTGCCTCTCTACAGTAAATGCCCCTCATAACAGGCCTGTCAGCAACAAGCGGAAAAATGATTGTCCATGACTCTGCCCATTTTCCGAGGGTAACACTATGCATCCTTGCAATACATTTATACTGACAGCCGTCATAATATGACCATCACAGCTACATACCAACAACCTAATGCTGCCGACATAAGTGTGCAAATTACATTTAGTGGAATTAATGACTATGAGGAACTATGAGAATCATTACTGAGATTTTGGAATATAAAATATTTTAAGTAATATAATAATATTATTTTCAAGACAAACAAAGAACATCATAATTGTTTTCCATTAAAGACAGTTACCTTGTTAAAAGGCAAAACAAAACATTTTGTCATCAGTGCACTTTTTCAGTTAACAGGAAAAAACTAAAAAAAATAAGAAACTAACACCTGGACCTTGTCCAATAAGTCTGATATCATGACGAATCATATAATATTCGTATTCCCAATAATATACAATATATATTTTCGTCAGCAGTGCAGTGTGGGTTGTTTTTTTAATCAGGTGCTCCTACTCAAGAGTCCTGAAGTGCTGTCTTCCAGTTGCATCGGATATAGTGAGAAAAAACAATGTTTGACTGGAAACAACTTATCAACTTGGTCAAAATTTGGGTTATTGCTAATAGCTTTTCATTTAAATTTTTTATAAAGATTTAAAACAGTATTTTTTTTGTTTATACTATTTATGTCATGATATATCTTAGATCCACTTTTGCTCATTAGTCTTTCCTATGTCCAGGTGTTATTGATTATCAGTAGTCTTAAAATATTAAGCTATGTAAATCAACCATTGATCAAAATGAACACAATATTTAATTTTCTCAAGAAGTCATATAAATGAAAAACAAAAATAAATGCTAGTGCTCAGAATCCCTAAAAATATGTAGCTGTGCACTATTTTAAAATTCAAAAAGAAATGTTTTGTACATTAACATTTGATCAATAGTAACATGCTATACTAATGCATTCCTAAAAGTCTTCAAACATAAGCTTATCAAAAGTTAATAAAAAAGCAGGTATATGACTAAGATATTTAACAATGTCCATTTTTGTGTTTAAAATTCAG